TAGGCCCGGTCTTGCAGAGAATGACACATGCTTTCTGTCACCCGGATCTCAGCTGCTCCTGGTGTACATGAGAAGTCAGCATCTTTGTGGTTAACCACTTACACCGCCTCAACACACAGTAGCGACCAATAAAACTGAGGACCTTGAGAGCCTCTAAGATGAGTATTCTTGAGCCTCCTGTATCCATTCCAGCCGGGATTAATCAACAACACAAAATTAAAGCGTGGAGCTTATTGCCATGGAATAGTATGGTGGCCAGGAGTACAACTGCATTCAAACAAGGACTAGACAAATTCATGGAGGAGATGTCCTTTGATTTCAAACCGCTGTGGGGTCTGGGTGCATACTTTGGCTCCACAAGTTTCTAAAGCAGGGATCAATGGAAGGGTAGGCCTTCACGTGGTGGATCACTCTCAGGGTGCCCCCTTCCTGTACTCTTCCCTAAGCATCTCCCATAGCCAATCCCAAAGGAAGGACCCTGGGACACCGGGATCCTGCTCTGTCCAGACATGACATTTCTTATACTATAATCAATACCATCATAAAAATAGACTGTTTAGACAAGAAAATTGTGTTGGCTGGAGTTTAAAAGATGTAAGATTCAAACTTTAAGAAAGTGTTGTATGAGACATCTTCAGAAGATGTTAAAAAGAGCTAAATGACAACTTTGAAATATTCATATAGACTGACCTCAGTGGAGGGAGGCAAAATCCCAAGGCCTTCTTTGCCGTCACTGGAGGAACTGGCTCATCTAGAAGGTGCTTCAGAGCACTCTGCAGAGGCTCCCACCATGAACCACCATCCACATCAGCATCCCAGACTGATACCGCTCCAGTAGCCTTTTTCCAGGAACAGAGAAGGACTATACTCGTTTTAGGTGATTAACTTTTATGGACCATTTTTCCTCATAGCCTCAAAACGATCTCCTCCTGTCAGGCCACAGGCCTCCCCTCTTGCTTCCCCTACCCCACCTGCCAGGGCGCTTGTAGAAACTCACCTTTTCCTTTTTTGTTCTTTGAATCAGATGCATAAATATGGAAAATACATACAATTACCAGCAGGCCTATCAACACTGTGAGTGCAGAATTCTACATGAACACAAACCTCACGTTTACGGCTGTCTTTGTTGCGACAGTGACAGTGCAAGCTTTAAAGCAGTGGGCTACTAAGTCAACTATGTAAAAAGTCAGGTTGTTTCTACCCTGGAAATATCTTACATTCTATTCTTTCTGCAGTATTATTAATTCCAAGTTCTGTTTAATGCTTTGCATCTGAATGGGACTCTCAATTACATGAGTCACTGCAACTATCCTTTGATTTTTTTTTTCCTTTTTTTGTCACATATGTGTAATCTGAATCCACAACTGCTGGAGCCTGAGGCTTGCTCTGTACACTCAAAGTGCCACAACAAAATGGGCTGAAGTTCAGTTTTGAGTTGCTCACGGCAAGCAACGCTGCCCACGTGTTTTGTCCCTGATGTCGCTTCCTTGTGAACCATGGCAGAGAAGTGGAGGTGGTTTCACCTTGAACACGACCCCTCCCTAGGCTGCCAGTGTACAGGCGAACCACGGGGTTGCACATTGCGGCTGGGGCAGGTATAACGCCATCCTAAGATGAGGGAGAGGAAAGAGGGTGAATTGTCCATTTACCTGCAGTATTTCTCACTACTGCACAACATGCCACACTGACGGGTGCTAATAAAAGTACAAACATCCCTTTCACACCCCAGTAAATCTATAGGTGTTAGCTATGAATTCTTTACCAGCCTTGCCATGTACATAACCCATGTTAAAGTTCTCTCCTGCGGCTCTCTTCTACACACTTCTGGGTTTGCCCAGGATCAAACCTATGCTCTGGAGGCTTTTCAAATAAGTATGATACGTACACCTGGATAAATGTGTTTTGGTGGTTAACTGAATCATGTGCTTAAGAGTTCGATTTAAATGGACCAATGCACACATTTTGTGGTCAGGTTGGCAGTGTAGGTTATTGAAGAAAATGTCTTTTTCTCACTTGTGAAAAGCTGAATTTGAAGCCTACGCACAGTGGCTTTTCTGGGAAAGCAAATTTTCTAGGAATGCCAGTTACAATTTTAGGAAGGAAACAATGTGGTAATTTTCAAATTCAAATCAAGTTTTGGCACAGAAGAAGAGAAGCAAGGCTTGAGAAGAAAAGGTCATGGCAAACAACTATGAAACAGGTAAAAAACTGTTTTCCCTTTTTGTCTCCTTTCCCATCTTTTTCAAGCCAGCTTCTTACTAGAAAAACTGCTTTCCATCTCTTCTAAACTTCCATCACTCTCTCAGTATAATGCAGGAAAGCACTGCCTGAAAATAGAGCTTTTCTTTTGCTAGAGGATAATTACTAATTGTTCACTGTCTCATTATAAAATCCTAGTGAAGACCAGGACTTTACCATGAAGGTGCTAAAAAGCATCAATATTATACCTTATATAGGAAAAACTATAGTGTTTCATCTGTACTCTGTCCCCTGGAAAACCACCGCTTCTCTGGCAGACCAGGGAGAACATAACGCCTCTTTCCTTGCTTTCTAGGAGACCTGTCTGATTTGAATGGAAAGCTCCGTAGGGTGGGAACCCGTTAGGAACTACGTTAAGTATGTGTATCGTAAAGAACTACGTTACATCAACAGTGCTGCAAAAAAAAAAAAAAAATCAAATCAAAAATTGTTATACCAAAGCCTCAACTGCAGGTCCCAGGAATGACAGTATAATTATTTTTAGAGATGACTATAGCAGTAACTCAACATGACACGAGAGACCTGAGAAACAGCAAGCCTGATTTAAACCAATGGAAAAGCCAGGAATGCAGAATGGAGACTGTTCTTAATGCACCATATTGCATTTGAACATTTTGTTCCTACCCATCTATCCAAAGCATGACGTTTTGCATTTCATATTAACATTCTGAAGACATTAAAGGATTCTTCAATTTGATGTTCATATGCTGTGTCAGAACACGCACTCTGACTGCTTAGAGAGACATTATGTCTACCTTTTACTCATCTTCCCTCCCTCAGCCTCCTAACCATCCTCCCTCCCACTCCCAAAAAATCCCTG